TATAATTGAAGATTCTGTATTGTCCCTCAAAATAAGAAGACAGTCGGTAGTTATTATCTTTGTTAGAAGAGTAGTAGATAAGTAGGCAGAGCTGTGATAAGTATTTAGCAAATGTACTTCAAGTAACCAGTATTAAGTAATTTAAATTCCAAATCTACTACAATATTAAGTATACGTATTACACGAAAGTACTTGAAATATTAAGTATTTTACTTAAAATAAATAATGCAAGTATAAGTAGCAAGTACATATCTTAAAAATACTTAAAGTAAATTCAATATACTAAAGTAATTCTAAGTACTGAAAATATGTTAAAAATATTTAAAATACTTTTAAAGATTCAGTATTTTAAAATACTTATTACTTAAGTCATGTTTTAAATATACATTAAATTAAAGATCCCTTCTTGAGTTATAAACTTAAAACTCAACATATATAGCTTTGTATAAATTAATAAAGTACACTACTATTTCGTTTAGATATGAACAATAAAAATGGCCATCCAATATGTTTGTATGTGTAGAACACACAATATACAATGTATACTTGGTTTATTAAAATAATTGAAATCTTGAATTTTACTCGGCGTTTTTGTTACATTGTTACTTGTTAGATGATGACATGATGATATAAATTATATATTTAAACCCGTGACAGATGTTTTCATATCATCATGACTATGGAGATCATGACTTACCAGAATCATTGTTTATTGCTCATATACGAGTAAATAAAAAACTCATCTATTCATATTTCAATATCTTTTTTATTCGTCGGAATGGGTAACACAAAGAAGTCAAAGTCATAAACGTAACACATAACATGAGAATATGAGTATGAGAATAATAACACAAGTACATAAATATTGTTTTTCAAGAATAATATTATTTTTAAATAGGCACCTAACCAAAATACATATTATTAGGATTAGGATATCGGATACTTTGAAAAAACAACAAAATAAATAACTAAAACGTTTCCTAGAATACATGTTTATTACTTTTGAGCAATACAAACTTTTCAAAGTTGGTGTCACTTAACGCATGACGTCTATTAGCATTAATTATTTCAGCGAAAGAAAATAATCATTCCACGGCATCATCCTTAAAATCAAAAGACACGTCTTCAAGGTCTTCTTGGGCTGTCAAGTCGGGCTCAACTAATACTTTAAAGGTCAAAGTACTACTCGATATCCAAGATTGAATATCTTTTGCGGTTACTTGAACATCAGTATTTATTTATTTATTTATTTTATTTATTTATTTTATTTATTTATTTTATTTATTTATTTTATTTATTTATACATTGTTCAACAGGTTAAACCCAATTACAGAACAGGAGTACATTTGGAAGAAAACAGTTTAACAAAAAGCATATAGATAATTAATCTAAAATTACAGTAAATAAATTCTAAATTATTTTAAACAATGTGTTTTTATGTTTTTAACACTGCAATTAAATATATCCAACTGTTCACTAAAATTATTATAATTATTACACATGTTATTTACAGGTGAAAGCTTCAGAACGTTTGTCCGAGGAGTTGCTATGTAAAATAATTCGGTGTTTCGAGAGGTTGCGCGGGGGATTCTAAAATTAAGCATATGTAAAAGAGCTTCACAATTTATTTTAAAATTAACAACTTTGTAGAGGGTAATTATGGAGAAGTACTTCCGTCTTACGTCGAGACTTGTCAATCTGTGTCTAATCAGTAAAGCATTTTGAGTAATACCAATCGGTGGATAAATTTGGTCTGCCCGAAAACTTAAGTATTTGAGGAAACGCCTTTGTGTGGATTCTATCCGACAATTGTGTATTTGATAATAAGGATCCTAAATAAACGAGGCATATTCGAGTTTAGATCGAACAAATGAGAAATACAATGATTTAATAGTATCTGTGTTTTTAAAATCACGGCCCACTCGTACTATGAATCCATACATACGATTTGCTGTTGTTGAAATGTTATCTATGTGGTATTTAAACGACAATACTGGGTCAAATGTAACCCCTAAATCCATAAAATTGTTGGGTCTAGAAAGCAAACGTCCATCAAGGACATAATCGAATACAATTGGATGCGCTTTTAATGTGTATGACATTACGTTACATTTGACGGGATTCAGTGTAAGGCCATTTTTGTTGCACCATTCAACAACTTTGTTCAAATTTTCCGACAACCGTTCACAGTCAGAAATATTTTCAATAGCTGAATATGTTTTTAAGTCATCAGCATACAGCAAATATTCAACATTTATAGATTCACCAATGTCGTTGATAAAAATATTAAATAACAGCGGACCCAAATTTGAACCTTGCGGTATACCAGAGGTGGCGCAATATTTGTTAGACTTGAATCCATTTAATTGAACATATTGTGTTCTTTGAGAGAGATACGATTGAAAAAGTGTGATCAAACTATTAGAAAGACCAAATACGCAGAGTTTCTGTATCATAATATTATGATCAAGTCTATCAAATGCTTTTGTCATATCCGTATAGATGACGTCAGTTTGGACCCGATTATCAATATTTTCAGCTATTTGCTGTGTGATCACAGAAAGATTTGTTACTGTGGAAAGCCCTTTAACAAAACCATGTTGCTGAGCTGAAATTGCGTTACGAACATGTTGATAAATACTACGTTCCAGTAATATTTCTAGAATTTTGCAGAAATTGTAAATGATAGAAATCGGACTATAATTTTTGATATCAGTACGTTCACCTTTTTTAAAAATTGGGCAGACTTTAGAACATTTCCACATCGAAGGAATTGTATTGGATTTAAGGCAGATATTTATCAAAATAGTTAGAGGGCGAGCTAATACTGCTGAACAATCTTTTAAAATGAACGCAGGAATATGATCCGGTCCTGTGGTACGTTTAGGTTTAATGTTTTTTAAAGCATCCTGGACCTGGGTTTCAGAAAAATGAGTTATATGAAGCTGAGATTGCTGGACGTCCTTTAATGATATGTTTGAACCCTTGGAAGCGACATAAGATTTCTATTGGATTATTTAATGTTTTATTTTCAAAACTCATGGTGCTTGCAACTTTACCTTGACATTGTTTATTATTAACGTATGCCCAAAATTTATTTGAATTTGCTGAGATTTCAGATTCAAGATTTGCTATGTAATTTTTATAAGCTCTGATGAGCTTAAATTCTTGAAGAGCTCGAATATTATTCTCATTCTGATATAAGCGATGAAGTTTAGACTTTTTCCGAAGTTTCTTAATAATAGAACCATTAAACCACGGAGGATATTTTCTTTTATTACTTACAGTATATTTAGGTATACACTGATCTAGTATATTGTATAATTTACCATAAAAGTACGTGCAAGCATCTTCAGCATCATAGAAAACCTCCAAAAAATTCCAATTCACAGTAGATAACATTTCATATAAGAGCGGAAAATTTGCTTTACGAAAATTGTAGCAATTCGTGTAAGAGGATTCAAGATTTTTCTTATATTGCTTTTTTTCGTTTATTCTACAAGTAATTTCTAAAGCCGGATGATATTTATCTTCTTCTACTAAAGGTTCTAAAGATTTTTCAACCAAACAGAAATGTTTATAATACATCAAGTCTAAGAGCTTATTGTAATCATTAAATACAAAGTTATGTTGAGTTAAATCTAGAACGTCGGCAAAATTATTTAAGCTATTTAATTTAAGATTAGTTTGAATGTTAAATACATAATCAGGTATGTTAAAATCACCTATCATTATAAATTTACAATCATGTAAAAAATCTAATGTCTCCAGAGAATCAAACAATTGTTCGTATTCACCAAGTGGGGTTTTTGGTGGGATATACAGGTTACGTATATATAAGGACGTTAAATTAAGCTTAATTTTTACTAATATTAAATCTATAAAATTAAAATCGGGGAAAGAGTGCTCTTGTACATTAATGTAAGTAGATATAAACTTCTCATGTACCGCGATCAACACCCCACCGCCTCTAGTTGTATCACTCACAATAGGTCTTTTCCTTTGCATCGGAAGTGTAGCACTGAGCTACGCCACTTCTGAAAATACCGTTCCATCCATACAATTTGTATAAATGGAACGATATTTTCAGAAGTGGTGTAGCTCAGTGCTACACTTTCGATGCAAAGGAAAAGACCTATTATAATTCCGATCCTTTCTAAAAACATTAAAATCGAACGAAAACAGTTCTGAACTATTTATAGACGATTCTAGCCAAGTTTCTGTTAAGGCAATAATTTTGAATTCAGTTTGGAATATAGAACTAAAAAACTCAGTTGTTTTTGTTCTAAGACCTCGAACATTTTGATAAAGAATTGATATTTTATTTTCCAAATTTATAAGACGTGACTGTACTCGAGAAGTGCCTACCTGGGGTAGCCGAGAACTAGTCAGTGATTGCTAATTTGTTTTACTCAAGTTAGATTTCAGATTATTTAAATTCTCAATGTAAGCGGAGCACTTTTGCCTCTCCCATACCGCATGGTCGATGTCAATAGCTTTATTTTTTAGTTTGACGCAATTGGAGCACTTTTTTGTGCTTGATTTATAATCTTTAAGATCGTTAGCTTCACCGCAAACAGGACAAGAGACGTTTTTTGTGCATCTCTGAGCAGAATGATTAAATTCGTTGCACTTAAAATATCTGTATACTTCCAATGCGTCATACACAACGCAGCTATCATATGCAACAAACAAATTACCCGAATTTAATGCTTTTTCATATGCCGTTTTATCTACCTGAATAATTGCTTGATAAATATTATTATTCTTTTTTGTAGGAAATACTTTTACAATTCTACAGAACGACTCCTCAGAAAAAACGTTGCTGTTACAAGAAATAATATATTCATACAATTCCGTTGATGTGAGATTTGCCGTCATGCCTACAATACGGATTTTTTTAAGAACGCCGCCAACTTCTTTAACGCTGTACCCTTCTGCCATTTTTTGCTGTACAATAGATTTTACTTTTTCATTGTCAGATTTGCTCTTGCATGCATCTAAAAAGGCGTCAACCATCTCATTTTAAATCTAGGATTGGTTACTGTTGTAACGGCTATCTTAGACTGCAAGGTAAAAACACGATGGAATCGTTCACGAATAGAGTTCAAAATGTAATCTAAGGACTTAGATAACTGTATGATTGTACCAGACAATTTAATTTTCTCAAGTTTTTTATGCATTGATATAATACTGAGAAGAAAGTATCCATAATATGTATTTTGATCGCCTTGCAGAAAGTCAAGAGGTTTCATAATTGTTGTATATTCTGTCAAAAATAATATTTCACTTTCAGTAAAATTGAACAGCAAAAGTGCATCGCAAAGTCCTGGCATCTTTTCCTTTAAAGACAAATTTTTATTTAAAGCATCATAACTAAAGTTCCATCTAGTTACACTGGGGTAACTTGGAATGCAACTTAAAATCTGTTGCATTATTTCTGCCGATTTTGGTCTCCGTGCTTTATTCCACAAATTAGAACACTTGTTGAAAACTAAACAGTTTTTGCTTCTAAGTTGATGTGATGATTTTAATGAATTATTATAATCCATTGTGGAAATTAAATTAATTGTGTGTGAAGCACACCGTAAATGTTCGGTCAAAAATTATCTAGTTTGTGAAAATGATCTCTCTAAATCAGTTGACTCAATTATGCTTTCAAACTCTGGCAAAGTTCCTTCGGTCTCCCCCTTCCTCTCTTGAGTTTGATCATCTGCATTACCAACATTATAATGTGAATCAAGTAATATTCCGAATTCTTTAAAACATTTAACAAAATTGGACCCGTTATCGGTAACAGTGGCTAAAATTTTTTTTTTATTATCCAAATTATAGCCTCTGTGAATTTCATTCAACAGTTCCCCAATTTTGTCGAAATAATGAGTGACTTCAAATCTACGACATACTATAGCGACCGATCGCCTTGATAAATCTTGGTCTATCCAGTGACAAGTTACAGCAGCAAACCTATTCATAACTTTAACGTCCATTCCCTCAAAAATTCTTACGAAACTTTCATGCGATACCAAAGAGATTGGAGGCATAGTTTCTACAATAAATCGAACTATTCTTTCGTCAAACGTTTTTTGGGTAATTTTAGTTTGCCTAAATGAAATCTGTCCTTTAGAGTTACCTAACGGAACTGATGTAGAGGATGATGACGCAGACATACCTTCAGAAGTGGACGCATAATTTTGTTTCTTGCCTTCCCGAATTCGTCTCTTTTTTTGTTTGAATGCATTGTACTTGTCATTTTGTTCTGGATGCTTGTTTTTCATATGTTTTAAGAAATTCGTTTTTTTCAATAGATAACCTTTGATCATTTTTTTATTTGGTAAACACATTTTACATTCGGCTTGATTCTGGGTAGCCTCCGGCACCTAGAAATTACTTTCCCACAACTTCATAGAACTTTCCATCTAAAAGAGAGTTGCTTTGTATTTTTTCGGTAAGCAAATTATCCTGACCATCGCTAAACTGCTCTGGTTTTTGACTTGATTCAATTTCTAAAATAATTCGGCAACAATTTTTTTTGGGTGTCTTAAAGGTATATCTTGGGCCATCTCATCTGATATTTGGAACGGGTCCTCTAGCGAAGCCGAAATCGCCTCAAATAAATCATGCTCAACTTCCATGATTTCTATAAGTTGTAGATATTAAATATATCCAATAATTAAAGGTACTATACCATAATGCGGTTTACTCTCGAAGTAAACTGATTAAGATGTTTGTTTTAATAGAAAAAAATCATAGAATTCTGCAAAAAATATATTTTTCCTACTTGCGTGCGGAAAAACGTTTTTTATGCACGTAAATGCGTGCTGGAAGTTGAATTTTCTGCACGCTGTGTGGAAAAATATTTTTTCCTAGTTTGGCTTTCAATCAGCAAAAAACACTACATATGCTATGTTCTCTCTCCTGCAAAAACTATATCTTGAAATTAATGACGATCGGGTGGCTGCAGCAGTGTTTTGTGATTTAACCAAGGCTTTTGATTGTGTGAATCACAAAATACTGCTAGACAAGCTTGAAAAATATGGTTTTCGAGGAATTGCTTTAAAATGGTTTCAATCCTACTTAAATAATATAATTCAAAAGGTAACTTTAAATGATCAATCCTCAATGTCAGAACATATTTACTGCGGAGTTCCGCAGGGATCAGTACTGGGACCAGTACTTTTCCTTATATACTTTAATGACATTGTCACTATTAACATTCAGGGACAATTTGCAATTTTTGCTGATGATTCGACAGTGCTTTGGCTCAGCAACAATAATGAAACCTTGCATCGTATCATAAGCAGGGACATTGAATTAATTAAACAATGGTGTGACGCTAATTATCTAACATTTAATATTTCAAAAACCAATATTGTTTGTTTTAAATGTGAAATGGAAAATATTTCAATGGGAGCCGAAATTATTAACGGTACAAATAAAAATAAATTTTTAGGATTAACTATTGATTATAGACTAAAATTTGAAAGTCACATAAATTTATTATGTAAAAAGTTAGCGTCGGGTTGTTTTGCAGTACGATCAGTGACCTACAGTTTAAGTTTGCAGGCTGAAAGAAACGTATATTTTGCGCTGATAGAATCCCATTTGAGGTATGGCATTTGTTTCTGGGGTGCATGTTCTGACGAGCTATTTAATAGAGTCTTTATTATGCAAAAGCGGGCCCTGAGGTACATGTGTAAACTTAATAATTATGCTTCTTGTAAACCCTTATTTTATAAATATAAAATTTTAACAGTAGCCAGCCTGTTTATATTAGAGACGGTAGCTCTTATTCATAAAAAGTTTAAGGAAGAAATAATTATAACTTCAACATACAATACAAGGCAATCGTACTACCTTTATCTACCGATCCCATCATCCGCATTAATAAGGAACTCTATTATATACAACGGAAGAAAAATGTTTAATCATTTACCCTTGGCAAAAAGAAAAATTACAAATTATAAAGTATTCTATGGAAGTGTGAAAAAAATTATGCTAAAAAAAACTTATTATTCAATTGAAGAATTTTATAATGATAATTTTAACTAAAATTTTATGTGTACTGTAATATTTACCAATTTTATTTTATTTTAATTACATTTTTATATTTTAAATTGTGTAAATGCCTAATTTTATATTCTTATTTTAATTTAAATTGTGTAAATACCTATTAGTAAAAAAAAATTTATATTTTAAAACAATAAAGTATCTATCTATCTATCTACCTATCTATCTACAACTGTTAAAAAATATTTTTATATGGTCATAGATACGGTTTTTTTTCACATGTGAAAAATTAATTTCTTCAAGCATTTCACCCACAACATTGAGATACGAGATAGAACCCAACAAAAAGAGAGGTATCATATTATTTCACTTACCTATCTAATTCTCAATTATTTTCATATACTGTCTGTACCTGTACACTATAGGTTCTTTCGTTCGTCCCACTGGTGTAGTTGGGTGTAGTAATGAACTACACCAACCCACACCCATACCTTTCGTTTGGCCCGGTGTAAAACCCACTATACCTTCCTGTCGGCGATGTGGTGTACACTGGTGGATATTTTCTCCACCAGCTATTTAGCAGGAGTGAATTACACTCGACGATGTATATAAGGAATAAGGAGAAAGTAAATTAGGATAAATAAGGTGGTGTAATTGGTGTAATTTACACTGGTGGACACTACACCAATAGCGAACGAAAGAACCTTATATACACTATCTTAGGACTGTATGCTTATTACTCTTATTACGAGTAGTATTATTAGTACCAGGTATTAGTAAACTACAAGTCCGGCATCGGCACACGTTAGACGCCCTGTGTCGTAAAGATTTGATTTGTTTGAGCGTGTTTACTGTCACTTTACTATACTATTTGCTGTCCGGGTAATATGAAATGCGAGTCTTAGCTTGTTTGGCGTTGCAGTATTTTTAATAAAATACTTAAAACAAAAATATGTACTTAAAATAGTTTCAAAGTATTTTCCATTTAAGTACTTACAGTTAAAAATTACACAAGTAGGTATTTTCAGAACAAACTTTAAGTAGATTTTGATTTTCCAGTACATTTTTCAAGTAACAAGTAATACCACAAAAGCGTTAATTTAAGTACAAGTACAAGTACTTTTTTCAAATCTAATAGGTACATTTCCAAAAGTATCGTCAGTAAGTAAAATATTTAAAGTAAAAAGTAAAAAAAAATATTTCAAGTAAGTTTTTGTACTGAGTATCTCAGCTCTGTAAGTAGGTAGTTATTTTCTTTGTAGAATTTCACGAAAGGTTCGGCGAACAAATTTGGCTTTCTTACACCAGCCTAGCTGCTCTGCGTTGACCACCTGGAATAAAAACTAGAACACATATCTCACGACTGAGGAATTTTGTAGCTGCTATAGGGAACAAAATTGAATTAATTAATTCAAACCTTATTCTGCAATTTAAGCTGGATTAGAATATTCCTCACAATTGCTGTAAGCAATGTCACTGTCACCTGTGAAAATTGCTTCTCTAAATTCAAGTTGATCAAAAATTATTTGTGTACATTAATGTTGACTAATCTGGCTATCTTTTTTGTTGCCAGTTACTACAATATCGACTAATTTGAGATAGATATTATAACTTCTGCGCATACCTCCTTCTTGTCCAATTTCTTGAAAATATCTTTAAGTGTTTGATTAAAGAGGTTAAGCTGAGTTTCTTAATGTATTTTAATAATTCTAGTTCCAATGGTATAAAAGATTGATAGTACTTCGTATATTTGTAATTAATTCTGCTGTTGTGAAAAAATGGAGAATTAATTTTTTCATTCAAATTTTTAATTGTTGATTACCACTGTCAGTTGAAAAACATTTTCATTATTAAATTAATCTGCTTCAATGTTTTAAAATAAAATAAATAGTATACGTAATATTCCTTTCAGATACAGGTGGCGCCGCTGATAGATCTAAGATACTTGACACTGTATGCTGTGTATCTTGTTTGCAGTTACCAGTAATCAGTTCATCAAATCTGAAGTCTGAGGATGAAAATAATGCCATATAAAAATGCGAGATGCGGAAAGTGCGCTTTTTTTCATTTCAAGAAAAGCCAGGATTTGGCTCGGCTGATGTTTTTCAGAAATAGGAACGGATCATGGATCTTGGAAGGAAAACTGACGCTCTTTGAATAATAATAATAACTGATGTGGGTCGGCTAACATGCTATAAGTGGATGCTGTGCTCTGTGATCTCTCTTATACGGGGGCTAGGGTTAAAAGAACGAAAGAAATGGCTAAATCAAAATATTACATTTGACTTTAAGCTCGTGTTAAATATAGGGTCTCCAAACGAAAAATTGTTTTCAAATTTTATAGTTTAGAAGTTCTCAATTTTTTTTCATTTTCCCGTTTTTATTAATAGTAATTATAACTTTTTTAAAAGTAATTCATTACTGAACACTCTGTGGCCAATCACGGATAGAATTTGCATGACTCAACGTTTGATCGAATTACCTTTAGCATTATAATTCTGTCAGTAACTTTGAGATCTTCATCTCTTTTGTTTTAAAGATTTTTATTTTTGTTTGGCTGCTTGTGTTTTTACTCTTTAGTAATTTTGTATTTCTTCCTTTATTTTATTTGGTTTCTATATGTCTGTCCAATTATACCTATACTTTTATTATTTTGGCATTTCGAGACATATTTTTACTTTCCTATCTGTATACAGATAAGGAAAGTATATGAATCATGTTTAGACCTCGAGGTTTCGACGGATTTTTACGTTTTGGGGTCCCCTGAATCCGTTTTGACTCTTTTCGTGATGATGTCTGTGTGTGTGTGTGTGTGTGTATGGGCGAGCGTGAGTGCGTGCGTGCGTGGGGGTGTGTGTGTGTGTGTGTGTGTGTGTGTGTGTGTGTGTGTGTGTGTGTGTCTGTATCCACGATAACTCATGAACGGATACAAAGAAAAACACCAAATTTTAAACTTAAGCTTTATTCGGGCCTGCGGTGAACTGATTAGATTTTGGGCAGAGTCGAAACATCTGGGGAGGTACTTTAGAGGGAGTCATTTTTATATTTTATAAAATATATGTTATTTACGTTTGGAGAAGAAAATTCTTCGAATAAAAGTTACTTCTTATATTATTCTCTATAATTTTTGGTATGTACAAAATTATCTTAAAATGGTCCGTATTCGAGAAATTTGACAAAATGTAAAAAAATCAAATTGCTATCAAAATTGTTCAAATAAAAGTTGTTTGAGATATAATTCGCTATAATTTTTGTTTCATACATAATTTCTCTAAAATGAACCGTATTCGAGATATTTGAGAAAAAGTGTAAA